GACAATTTCTTCTATTATGATTAGTTTGGTGACATAGTCTACATTTGCGAGGTTCGTCGGGATGACGAATGTTCATCTCGTTATGAAATCGATTTGCACACCTCTGGCCTCAATGCACAAAAAGTTTCGAGTTATCTGCTTTAATCTTCCAATCCGATTCTAACCAATAATCAACATGAGAAAGTGGGACAAAAGCCAACGTATATTGTTGTTTATACGTCATAGTAGTGTACACAGTATTAACAATAGAAAAAGGGTTATCCCCTCTATAACCGCAAACTGCAATAACATGCGAACATGGAAATCTTTCCATTTGCCACTTACCGCATGTGCATGTTTGTTGAAAATAATGGACAGTGTATGTATTTCCTCCTTTGTCATTTATCTGTAACTTTGTGACAATTCTGTAGACACCTTCATTGTAGTCAAAATCGGTTAATGTATAGCTTTGTGCACAAGATTCTCGCTTTCGAAAGAGACGCCACATACATGATGGTAGAGGTGTATTGCAATTCATTGCAATATCACTGTCAAGGTTGTAGAACTCGTTACTCGGTACCTGTTCGGCTGACTACGAGTAGCTAGTACTCAGGAGTACTTAGAGAGTACTCGGATTTGGAAATTTGTGTAGAAATATTTTTAGGAAAATTATATATGTCAAAATCATAAGATAAAATCATAAGTTGATTGAAATATATAACAAAATTGGATACATGTGAATACACAAAAAAATGAAAAACACATAATGGTCTCACTTAATGAATAATTACTGAAAATTTAAGATATATATATGTAGTAAAATTGCATGTGTGTGTTAAATAATAAATCATTAAGTATATTATACATATTAATCACCGAAGTGACCGAATTTCACAACACTACTCAGTTCAGTAAGGGGCCGATCGGGGAGTACTCGGGATTATGTAACTCATCTCGGCAAGGGGGGGAGTAGCGAGTACTCGGAGGAGTAATCGGCAAACTCGACGAGTTTTACAACACTGATCACTGTACTTTCTAAAAAGTTGTACAGTTCTATTAAATGTAAGGTCAAGACACGCCCTGATCGGTAACTGTCTTGCTCCGCGAAGTGCATTGTTCAGACTCTCAAAGATATTTTTTTTCTTCTTAACTGCACGAACATACCATGCACAACGGGGCGTATAGTGCACACTACCAGAACTTTCTTCTTCATTTCCTAGAGTTCTATACTTTGCTACCCACAAGTTAGGCTTACTATCATACACTTTGAACTCTCTATTTTGGTTGATAGACCAAAGTGTCACTTCCTTTTTTACTTGTAACTTACTTTCAAATTGCATTCCTAACCTTATTTTATTTTCTGACTCCTTCCAAACATCTATTTGAATGCGGTCTTCCAAACCGACTATGTCACCGTCTCCTATATCTCCAACATCCCTCATAAAGTTCATAACTGGAGTTTCACACACACCATCATCATCAGAATCTTCCCCAAAACATAATGACTCGCTACTAGTATCTTCACTATATAATGAGTTGGCTTCATCACAATCTCCCTCAAATGTACCACAATCTGGCAAAGGAAATGGTACATTTGATGGATTGGGCTCCAACACCTCAAAATTTTGAAGGAGATCTACAAAACTAGTACTTGTAGGCGACATTATTTTTTCAACTTCAATTAAAACTTGACCCCAATAATTTGCAACATTCTCAGCCAAATAATACATTACGTCTAGACTTGAATCACTTATGACTCGTGAAATAGTGGATTGCCCTCCAAATTGATAGCATAATGAGATATTCAACTTATGTGATGCTTTTTCAACTCCAACATGTACATAACATAAATCTTTAAATTCTTCATACCCCATTTTGTGCCTAACAATATTTGAAGGAGAAAAAGTTGAATGGTCTCCTTTTATGATACCATTCTCATATTTAATATTACCACCCCCGTATAAATTAATCATAAACGGACGATCTAAAGTCATAATGATATATACCAAAATCTAACGGCAAAATAAATCAAATTTTAAAAAAGAGATTAATGAGTATGCTACATATGATAATTACTATTATTAAATATATGACATAAAGCCAATAATATGTACCTTGTAATGGATGAACGATTGTTGAAGAAAAAGAAAGAGGAAAGATTTAAGTTCAAGAATTGTAAGAGAAATTCATTAGCTAGGTTGGAAGAGATGAAATACTATTGATTATAAGAAAGAGAATTTATAATACAAAAAAGTGAGCTGATTTGACCATTCACTCAATTACTTCTACTGAGTTTTCATCAACAGTTACATTTGAGTGTGCGGAAGAGTTTTGCTTTGGTAGTTGAGTAAAACAAATAACATAATTATAGAGTTTTCACAAATAGTGACAACTCATGCTAACATTTTAGGTATTGTGAATTAAGATTTTCTCATATTTATAAATAAATGATAATAAAAATATCACTACGAATATTATGATTTAGTGTTTAATTTAAATTCTAACTTAATGTATATTTTGAATGTAATATCGTTTATAGTTATCTTTTAATTTTCGGATGTAATATATTTAATATTAATATCTATTTGAAGATATTTGTATTATTCATTTAATGCTATAACTATTTAAGAATAATACATAAATTATAATTATATATTTTATAATAATTATTTATGTATAATATATAATTTAGTGATGAGTTAGTGGTGAAATAGCAACAGAGTAACAATGGACTCAAAACCCAACGAACAAGAATAAAAACTATTTATATACATGTCGTCGCAAATATGTTGATCATAGTAAATTTGTAAGAAATACAATGACAAGGATTGAACCGGGGCAATCTTGTGGAGGGAAACATCTTACCACTTTAGTTGAAAAACATCAATCATCAACAGTTGTTGCTATACAAATGATTATATATCTTAATTTCATTCCGGTTCCTAATTGTTGTTGATGTTGTTAGGGATAAGCATTAGAACTGCAGGAACCGGAACCAAACCGGAACCACAATTGGTAATAAGGTTCGGTTACCGGTTCTTCATTTTTATGAACGATTCTTCATTTTTATGAAAACTGGTTCCGGTTCTGAAAACCGGAACCGGTTTGACATTTTTCCGTTTTTTAAAATGCGCATAACTCATTCATATGAAGCCAAACTTATTTGATTTTTTTTCAAACATGTAATTTGGAGTTTATAATTCATTTTTTATTGTACAAACATATATTTTGGTTAGATATTGAATCAGACACATGCCCCGAAAGAAAGATTATCAATAATACATTTTTCTATTTCAGCATTTTTTGGTTATTTTGAATCTGTCCCATTTTTTTTAAATGTACATAACTCATTCATATGACATCAAAATTATTTAATATTTTTTCCAACATGTAATTTGGTGATTGTAGTTCATTTTAGACTATAAAAACACATATTTTGGTTAGTGTTCGGTCAAAAATATGGTTTATCCTTTGTTTTTCTTAGATATTGTAGTTTTCGGTCTAAGGCCGAAAACTCGTTGGGTTTATTTGTAGTTTGGACCGAAAAATCATGTGTTTTCGGTCTAGCATTTGGTTTTGGGCTTTGGGTTTAGTCCACAGGTATAAATAGGGTGGAGGATGAGTTTTTTACAAGTCTAGACTAAGGAGGGGTGTTTTTGGTTAAGAGAGCATTGATTGTCATATGAATGTGCTAGAGAGAGAAAGTTAGAGAGAGAACTAGTGTGTGTTATTGGATCTTGTATGTTGGATCATCATTCTAATCATCAATACATTCACGATTCATCAAGTTCTTCTTCTTCTCTATTTGATCTTGCATCATCCACTTGATTGGGATTCTCCACACAGTTGGTATCAGAATTTGGATTTTATCAATCATTTTGGCAAGATCTTGAGTATTTTTGTATTTTTTTTTTCTTGAACGATCTTACGTTTTTGGATAGTTTTTGAAGAAATATTGGGGGTTTGTTCTTCATGTTCTTCATAAAAATAGCTTTTTGATTGAGTTTTGAAGCTACAAAGTCAAAAAAACGTTGTTTTTGGTCGTAATCTGCGAGGGGTGGCGGCGGTTTTCAGTCAGCAGCTAGGGTTTGCAGCCGAAATCGCGTTTGCGGTCTGTGGTGTGTGCGGTCCGAAGTGTTTACAGCCGATAACGAGGGTTTGCGGTGGAGCGTCTCCGAGTTTGTGGTAGAGCGAGTCTCGGACGTTTTCGGCTTCAAACAGTTTTCGGTTGCGTACGTGTTTGGTCAGCAGCCTCGCGTGTTCGGTTCTCGCACGTGTTCGGTTCGTAGGTTTTCGCCTCGCACGTGTTCGACCTCGGAAGGTTTTTGGTGCGCAGGAGTTTGCGGTCAGCAGTCCTTTTGGTCAGAGGGTGTGAGTTCTCGGTCAGTGAGTATATAGAATTTTTTGGGTGTAGCAAGGACCAAAATTGGGTCTCACACACACACACACAACCCACCATCTTACCAATCCATCTAGTATACCACATTGTTAACATCCTTCCGGTTTAGTTCAAGTAGTCTCGCAATTTCGACCTTATATTCGGATTTTTGACAATTTTATCCCTAAAATCAATTTTTCGAATTTTAAAGTTCCATTTTCTATCCAAAACTTTGACTTTTGATTTTTGACTTCCTAATTTGACTTTTGAACTTAAAATTAACTTTGACTTTCAAGTTTGACCTTTGATTTATCTTTGACTTTCTCGTTTAACTTTCAAGTTTTCAAGTTTAGCTTTTCAGTTCAACTTTTAAGTTTGATTTTTTAAATTTGACTTTTAAGGTTGACTTTTGAGGTTTAAAGTCAAAGGGCATTTTTTTATAAGCAATGAGTTCCTCAAACATCCCAGTCAATGAAGTTTCATGTTCTTAATCTTGTGAAGCTACGATTAAATTTCTTCGTGAACAAAATGATTTGTTAAAAGGAGAAAATGAGGACCTTAAGTATGAAGTCTATACTCTTAGGAAATGTTAAAAACCCTAAAAGCACAACTAGACGCCAAAATCAAGGACTTTAGAAAACTTCAAGAAGAATACAGCAACAAATGTATGCATTATATATACCTATGTTAAGGAACAACTTGCTAACGTGACTGTCGAACTTGATGCATTGAAAGCTAAATATAAAGATGTAGATTTTATCTTTAAGAAATTTGATGTGTCAAGTGAGGTAGTTGCATCAATGATTGAAAAACAATTAACTTTTAAGGATAATCAAAATAAGGGTCTAGGGTATCACAACATACCACCTCCTTTCAATGACAACTATAACCCACCCCTTGAGACCAACAAGGAAGAGATACTTACTTAGTGTGGCCAAATCTCTGAACCAGTTTCAGTTAAGACTGAACAATCAGGCCAAACTGAGGATATTGCTAATGATTCTACTTTATGTGCAGGTAAAGTAGTGGAAGAGGAGGACAATGAGAACAGAAATTATTCAAGTTCTGTTGATTCTGTAAACTGTCACACCGATGTCTCCTTGAACTCTGAATCTTATGCTTCTAACTCGGTTTCTTCTAATCAACCTGCTGTTGGTAAATACATGCCACCAAAACAAGTGAAACAGAAGGCTTGTTGTATGTGTGCATGTGGGAACAATAAGAAACGAGGCAAGGGCACACCACCAGGGGCAAGCAGAAACAATTCCTATGTGAAGAAAAAGACTTGTTTTCAATGTAAAACACCTGGACACATTGTTAGAAATTGTCTTAATCGCGCATATGTTCCCTGCTATGCACAAGTATGTCAGAATGCAACAAAAGGGAGATTCTCCAAAAGAAACCCTTCGAGGCCATGTTCAAACAATGATAACTGGAACGTGCATAAGGGCAAGAATCCAACTCCCAAGAATAAGAAGGGTGTGTTGGCCAAGAAGTCCAACTCAAGAGATGCTCCAGTGAATCCAAGACCGGTTAGGTCAAAGCCATCTCGACAGCCGACTTCAAGTTCAAAAGCAAGTACTGAGCCACCCATCCGATCGAATAAGAAATGGGTTAAACCCGATTATAGATGGGTACCAAAGGTTCATACTCCCAAATCTTCTAATGATCCTAACATTTCTTCATCTTCTGTTTGTGATAAACAGGATATGTCATAAGAGAGAGTACCTTGAGTAGATGACAAAGGTGAACCCCGTTTCAAAATGGACTGGGTTCCAAAGACCAATTAATCTTGCACTCTGTGCTGGAGCAGCTATGGAGGCATATCATCAGACTTCGGATTGTTGATAGTGGCTATTCCAAGCACATGATAGGAGGCATCTCTCAACTGTACAACACTCAGAACTTCAATTGAGAGTATGTGTCTTTTGTGGGAAAGGAAGAAAAGGAGAGGATCACAAATGGGGTTTATGCTTAATGATGTGAAGAATTTTTGGATCTATTCTGATACTAAAATACAGCTAAGGTTGAATTCATTGTTGCTTGCGTCTTCAATTGCTGACTTTCGGTTTGAATTCTTTCGATACTCCTGAATTTTTCTTATAACGATTCGTTTCAAAGACAATTATTTTACTTTTGCGCATTTATTTTATTTCTTCCTCGTGCTCAATTTAAAGGGGAGAAATCAAAATACAAAAAAATATAAAATCAAATTTTCAAAAATATTGTCTCATGATGGTTCCGTTGCAGGTTATCAATTGGGAAGTGATATAAAGCTTAGTGCTAAAGGGCATTTTGAAAATCGTATAATGCACTAAAGCTGAATTGTTTAGACTCTATGTTCAATGTGTTGGTAGACAGAAAGGATTCAAAAGCACTAGACATGAATTGACAATGAAAGGACTTGACAGTATGGACTTAAATAGTTCTATTTTGACTGACAGTACGACGCTCGAGGAGATTGAGCAATGAGATAAACATGGAAACCTGCAGGAT